TAAAGATAATTAAATAAATAAAAAAAGGTTGAATTTGAAATGGAAAAGGTTTAATTTGAAATGGAAAAGGTTGAATTTGACTTGGAAAAAGTTTAATTTGATTTGGAAAAGGTTGAATTTGACTTGGAAAAGGTTGAAATTGACTTGGAAATGCTATAATATACATACAAACCACTTTATCAGACTTGGTTATTTGATCACTATATATAGTTCTGATTATTCCAGATCCCAATAATTCCTTTACTAAATATTGTTTATACAGGAAGGGGTAGTAATTTTGGATAAATAAAATATCAGAATTCTTTGCAAATATTCTAACATATCAGATTAAATGCAGAAAACAAATTATAACTAATCCTTTTATCTTTGAAGGTAAATTGTTAGAAAAAGTCAGATTTTATTCTTTGCTGATAATTCTAATTATATTGATTAATTAGTTAAATGAATTTATTACAAACTAAGGTGGTGAAGAAATTAGTTTTTTTTTTTTTACTTTCATTTATCTGTATATGTAATATATAGTAAGGGAAAATTTTGCGATCGTGAAAATTTTCGAATTTGAGTTTTCAATGGAAATGCACCTTCTGAGGTTCCCTGAGTCCAAATAACCAAGTCCCGTAAAATGGTCTGTGTCTGTGTGTATGTGAACAGCCAAGCTCAAAAACTTTAAGTTGTACGAAACTTAAATGGTGTATTTAAGGTTTTTATATAATTCTGATGTGGCAGCAACTTTTTCGTCAAAATCGGCTAACCAGAAATGCCACTTCATATTATCGGTAAAACACATTTTTACAATTTTCTCAAAACCGGCTTCAACGATTTTGATTAAATTCGTTGTATCATTGTATAATTAAGTCGTCTTTAATACCATTTAGGTCTTATCCCCATGATGTCACAGAGCGTAAATGCCCAATGTTCATATAGGTCTTCCTCTAAAGTACCTTTAAAATGGATTATTTACAAAAATAACTCTCTTTTATTGACAGTACCTATAAAAAATGGCTAAATATGAAGTTTGTTAAAATATGATAATTGGAAACTGGAGAAAAATACATATCCAGGTTGAAAATGAATATCCGGAAATAACAGCCAGAATGTATATAAATAAAGCTGTAGAAGGTACCAGAGAGTGATGAAAAAAATATAAATAATAATTTCTGAAAACTGACATTATTTAATCTAAATCACTTTCGCAAGGAAATTAAATGAAATTTTCTTACTAAAGTAAAATTTTAAATTAAGTAAAGCAAAAAAGTATTTAAAACCCACCGAATCAAGCCAATGTCATTGTTTAAAATACTATTTCATTGTACTTGTGTGAAGGAAGAAGTTAAATATAAAAATAGTTCATGGATATGGTTTATAACCTTAAATATATTTATTGTACTTTAATAACTCTATAGACGATATCATATTTAAATAATCAGGTCTCTATTGGTTGTTTTTTCCAAAACAATCATCAAGTAACCTTTAAGAAAATTAAATTAGTGAATAATTTGATGAATTTTCCCTTTGTGAAATCCCAAAATTATTCATCTACAATTAGTGTAACAACTTTTGACCTGGCCATGGCAGGCAATGAAAATCTCTTAATGTCATTTTAGTAAACTTTACAAAGGAAAATAACAGTTTAATAACTAATAATATTATAATCGATAATCATTTATAGGTTAAATATTCAGATGAACTTTCATGTCTCTCTAGGCATATATGAGCCTTTCAGTTGACAGATTGATTAACTCCAATTTCAACATTCTTTATTATTAATTTTAGTGATGTTTCTAGTGGCAAAATGTATACCTTTATTCACAGTTCTATATTTCAACACTGCAATCACTTACTCTGGAATCAACTTGCTCACTGTATGCATAGATATAACTTTTCCAACTAGAAATATCACTAAAATGACATTACTCAAAAATGTTAAAATTATAGTTATTCATTCTGTCAACTGAAAGGCTCAGAGACTGAAGTAATGTATATGTTTATGAGTTATGGATATGTTTATAACCTCAAATATATTTACTATAGAGTATTAACTCTAGATAAGATATTATATTTAAATAATTAGGTATCTATCGGCCGTTGATTCCAAAAAATCATCAAGTAACCTTTTAGGAAATTAAATTAGTGAATAATTTCATGTATTTTCCCTTTGTGAAATCCCAACATTATCCACTTACAATCAGTGTGGCAACTTATGACCTATCCATGGCAGGCAATGAAAATCTCGTAATTTTGTTTTAGTAAACTTTACAATGAAAAATAACAGTTTAATAACTAATAGTCCTACGATCCATAATCATTTATAGGTTAAATATTCAGTTGTACATTCAAACCTCGGTAGGCATATTTCGGTTGATAGAATGATTAACTCCAATTTCAACATTCTATATTAATAATTTTAGTGATATTTCTAGGGGCATAATTTATACCTTCATTCACAGTTCTATATTTCAACACTGCAATCATCTACTCTGGAATTAACTTGCTCACTATCTGCATAGATATAACTTTTCCAACTAGAAATATCACTAAAATGGCATTACTCAAAAATGTTAAAATTATAGTTATTCATTCTGTTAACTGAAAGGCTCAGAGACTGAAGTTATGTGATTTATAAATCTACATTTTGATTGCCTACCGTCGATATAATAAATAGGCTTTTTGTAATTTTAATGATTTGTTATCAGTAAGCTTTAAGCTTTGACATTGCCAGAGTATTCAAAATAGAATACTCATATAAGGAGGTTTGGAAGTGAAGTGGTCATTTGGACATCAGGCTCAGTATATTAGAATTTCAAAGGTCCTAAAATCAGTGAAATTTATTTTCAGAAATTAACATATTTTAATTTAAGTGTGTCAATAGATTGTTGTGGCTTAAGAAAAGATTCTTCTTTTACATCCTTCTTTATGCCTCTCAGTGTGGAGGAGTATCCAGCCATCCCGATCTCTCCCCTCATTTCTCCTATTGATTTACTTAACAAAAGCAGGTGAGTATAATTCTTAAGTTTAAATTTCAAGCTTTTTGCTTCCTCACTACCGAAGGTAGAGAAGCATTGTGTTCGTGCGAGAGATTAAAAAAAATTGTTTGCTCAGAATCGAAAATTTTCACTCGCGTTTTACGTTTCAGACATCAAGGATCAAATTTGGTTCGGTGTCTGTCTGTCTGTAGTCAAATCGATGTGACGGGCATATCACCTAGTACCGTTCATCCAATCTTCATGAAATTTTCAGGGATTATGCTGATTGGTGCCTAGATGGTCCCATATCAATTTTATCAAATTCCATCCAGCACTTCCGCTTACGCACGTGCAAACGTATATTTTTAGATATGCCAATATTTCAGAAAGGGCTCGTTCGATTTGGCTCAAAGTTAGATAAAAGGTAGACTTTGGTGAAAAAATAATGTAGTGTCAATTTCATTGAATTGTGTCCAACACTTTCTCTTATATGTGCACTACTAATCCGCCGTCCGCACATTTTTTCTACTAATAGACCGATTTTTTTCGAATTTGGATATAAAATCAGAGGTCACCCGAAGATCATCCTCCTTCAACGACATTACTATTCGCCTTCTAGTTTCAAAATGGCGGCCGAAAAACCTGCGTTGCTATAGACTGTAGCGCCTAAACGAATGTACCGATTTTGATGAAACTTCGCTAAAGTCATTTTCTCTACGCCCTCTAAATTTATCTATACTACATACTTCAACGAAAAGAAGCTCAAAAAAAAGTTACGAGGGATGGTAAAATTAAACTCCGAATAACTCCAGAAGTATACACATTTATGTCAATATTGTATATGGTTTTTTAGAAGTTTACGGAATTTCCTGAAAAACAAAAAAAAATTCGTCAAAATCGGACAATTAGGATCAAAGATATGGTCTCTAGTTTTTTTTAGATGTGCTATTGCAAAAGGTTTATCTTTTTTTTTGATTTCTGAATGTGTTACTGAAGTAATGCTATTTTTTTTAGCATATTACTAATGATTAAAAAAAATTTAGTCCAATAATTAGAATCACCTTTTATTTATTTTTCTTTATAACTAGGAATTTAATGTTACTTTATATGTATAATTGTTTGGAAATAATATATCAAAGAGAAATAATTTGCAGTGGTTTTTTTCAAATTAATTATCGTTATATATATATATATATATATAAATCTTTCGTGCTGAAGCCCCTCCTCCAAAATTAAATCTTGATTCGGTAATGTATATACTATTATTAGAGCATAAGTTCGTATGTAATAATTTTCAACTTTTAATTCTATGTGTATTAAAGGTGATATTTTGTAGTCTGCAACTGATATAAGTAGTCTGCTACTATGGAAAATAGCAGATGAAAATAAAATATGAAATTATTCTAATAAAGCATAAAGAAATATTGAGTTTTATGCACTCTTGTAAAACAATAAATAAATTTATACATAAGACCTTTTGAACTAACAGTATTGAAATTCATGTTCAGTATGCATGTTTTTTATTTATTTATTTTTTATTAAGCATAATCAAGCATGGAATATTCAAATACGACCCACTGTTGTTGAATGTTGAAGGGTAACTGTAATTGGCTATTCCGATTCTGCTTCTCTCAGAGATTTTATTCTCATACGAAAAATTGTATACCTTGTAATATACAATGGAAACGGTGAGGAAGCCTTACTTGGCAGACGTTTTTTTTATTGTTGAGAAAGTGAATCATATCTAAAATTCCAATTTTTAAAATTTAGACTGCAAAGGATAGCAGCTTGAAAATGGAAGACGGCTCAATAGTGACACTTTTCATAAGAAATATTTATCTATCAAGTTTCATCCATCCTGAAATCAGGATCAATTTTGGATACCCAGAATGACTGCCTTTTTTAACATCAGCAATTTTTGTATGGCAGACGAAGCTTATTTTACTTAGAATAGTATTAACATTATAATAGTTCAAGTTAAAATGTGTTTTTTTTTTAAAAAAGGATATCTATCTCAAACCAAAAAAAAAAAAGATATTTAGAATTAATTAACACATTTATTTACAAACTATAAATAAAATCTACAAATAAAAAGCTTAACAATAATCATGGTTCCTCATAGGTCTTTCTGGGTTGAACAGCTTAGGATCCTTCAAAAATTTAGGTTCTTTGTTAATGTATGGCATAAATCCTGAAAAGTAAAAATTAGATAAAGTAACAACTACAGAACATGTGTTATGTAAACTACTAAATAAGAAAGTCATCATCTTGCATTTGTGTTGTGTTTTTAACATAATACCCCAGGAAGCAAGTTTATTATCCTAATCTTTTTATAACTGTGAGAAATGAGAAAAAAAGTGAAAGTGCAATTTAAGTGCTATTTAGATTAGTCTTGATCCTGCTTTTTAAAAATGTCTGAAAAAAATTTAGACTGATCATTTCATTTATTATCATGTTGAAGATTCATCTCAACTGTTAAAACTGAATTATTTATTACTTCATTTTATGAAACTAGATTTTATTATTTGAGGCAATTTTTATCTTTTGAAATATCTATGAAATAAGAATTTACTCCGTAATTATAGGTAAGAAAACTGCAGTACTTGATAAAAAACTTACATAATCAAAATTTGTTTTCTATAAATCGATTGAACATTTTACGAATGTTAGTTACCGTGTTCTTAAAAAAATGTAAAGCATAAAAAGATTGAAGATCGTGATTTATACATTCTTAAAATGCACCCAGTCCTCAAAAAATTATTTAAAAAATCGAAACATTGTTAAGAGAAAATGCTATAAAATCTATTTTTGAAAAACATATGTTTACTGTGTAAACGTAAAATACTATTTGAAAATTCTTAAATTTTAAAAGCTTTATTTCTGCAGTTTTTTGGGGGCAGGAGGAGTTTTACTAGTGTCAATTGTATCTTCAGTGTAAGACTAATTGATTGGAGGGCCAATTAAAACTAACGTGCCTTGGTAAAATCAAGGTAGATCTAAAGTGGTTAGGATGGAATGGTTAGGTTCTAGCCCGGAATAAGAAATCAAGAATGAATTATCAGAAAAAGAAATTACAGAAGTAACTCTTTGGATTATAACGTATCACTGTCCAGAACTTCCTAGCAATATTCATAAACATAAAAGTCTGGTTGTGTATTCCACTAGCGGATCCAGGATTTAATTTTGGGGGGCTTCAGCCCGAACGATTTTTTTTTTCTCATAAATCTTCATAAAAATAATTTGAAAAAAAGAAGAAATAAATTAACTACCTATATGAAATGGTGTTTAAGTGGTTCCTGAAGTCCTATTAAATGAGGTAGAGATAGTTTTAATATTTTTTCGTGTAAAATATGGTTATATTTTACCATTTTTTTTGGGGGGGGAGGGGGCTTCAGCCCGAAAGCTCTCCTCCTCCGTAGATCCGCCTGTGATGTATTCTAAACCCTGTGCAGTGCTTCAAATGCTATACCTTCAATCATCTTTGAACTAATTGTCAGAAGCATCTGTGAGGTAAGTGAAGCCTCCCTTATCAGTAAGGACAATGTCACCAAACTAAATGCCCTAACTGCAGTAGGCCTCACGCTGCTTGGTCAAAGTCTTGTCCGACATTTTTAAAAGAAAAAGAAATACAAAAAATTAGCGTATTAGACAGAGTTTCTTACAGAGTAGGAAAAAAAAAAAACTTGAAAATACGTTTTCATCTGTACAATATGCACACATTAAAGAAGATAATTGGGAACACTACTCCCAGTTAGCAAATATATCAGACATCTCCCCCTCTGACAAAAATATTGCCTCTCAATACTAGTTCATTAATTACTCAATCTAAAACGCAGCTCATACTGCAATACAAAAAAGTACACATGTGCGTATTAAAATCCAAGTCCCATGGTGGGCACCCGAATGTTCTAAGCAATATATAAGAGTAGGGTTATTTAGTCGATTAGGCCCTGATGACCTGGATGTTATGTGCTTAGACATCGAAACAAACACATTTTTTTATGATAAATAAAACAATTTCATTTTAAACTACAAACAAAATTAATAATTACCTGCATGTTGGGCTTTAATAATTTCTTTTTCAACTAATTCTTGTTTGTGCTTACATAGCCTAGTAATATGTCTTCCATATACACGTCCAGTATAAGGTGAAACAAATTGTGAGAGAAGCCTCACGTTCTTATAATCTGGTGTTATATTCATCTTACATAAAATACATTGAGGTTTTTCTTTAACAAATGGATTCTCTATCTCAACTGGCTACAAAAAAAAAATATATATATATATATTCTGGAAGATTTCTAGCTAAAACAGAGATTGGTAAATGCTATTCTGAGTACTGAGTACCAAGTATTTTACTCAAATAATAAGCTTTTTTTGTGTAACAAAGAATTTAATTACTACTTCATTTGATGTCACACGCTTAACTGAAATAGTGATTGAATTCCCAATAGTGATTCAATTTGAGTAAAATACCTAGTACTCAGAGTAGCATATGCCCATCTCTGGCTAAAAGTGCATAAAAAAATTAGCCAACTTATTCGAATCAAGAAATGCAGAAACTGCTAAGGCTTTACGTAAAAATCTTTAAAATTAGCTTCCATATTAGTAATTTTACAAAGCATAATCCTAAACAAATGAATACTCTTCTTTCTTACCATATCTTTTCTTCCTACAGAGGAATCATTGGAAGGGGCAGAGAAAACTGATTGTTCTGATGAAATAGTACTAGTAGAATAGACCTGATAACTGATAGATCTCAAAAGTTTTCCTGCAAAATATGTAAACAAATATATTTGAAAATACAAGGAATTGACAATATATAAAAAAAAAAATCAGGAAATTTAATCAGTCAGAATAGCAACCTGAATTTCTAATTACTGCCGCTAAATTCATGATGAAATAAAATTTAAAAAACAGACTACAGATAACCTTATCTTTCAAATAAGGTTCTTGTTTATATTTCTAAAACAGTGAGGTATAAATTTTAAGGTTCCTGATGAACCGTTCATCATTGTTTTACTTTAAATATATATGTCAGGAGGAATACCTCTATTCAAAAGACAAGCAGCTTACTCTTTTAATATTTTATATTATTTTCTTAAGTTTAAAATGATGATGATGGTTTTCAATTTTTAATGATCAGTAGAGTTCAGACTCTCATCTACTACAAAGACCAACAGCTTAAAATACATATGTGGGTCCTATGTCATTTTTCAGTTAAATGGATGTCCAAGATTGTGATTGGTGTCTATCTGTGGAACCCGAGTATTGTCAAAGGAAACTGGAAGACATATTTTGTGCCGAAGAGTGGACGTGATATGTTGTGATTTGTCTTGATTTAGTCGGATTTTTCAGAGTTTAAACCAATCATGTAATTTTGTTAAATTTTGTTTGAGCGTTATTTTACAGATAACATTTGGTTTCATTTACACAAATAAGTTAAAAACTAGTACTCATTTAAATTAATACTGTTTCTTGTTATAACTTATCTATTTATATTGCAACGTTTTAATAGCTTTGCCAATAACATAATTTTCGACATCGTACTTGGCACGGTTCGCATTAAAGAAGAGTAACAGATGAAAGAATGGTGTTAATTTATTATTTATTAGTTCTCACCACTTAAGGATCCTGGATTTAATTTTGGAGAGGGCTTCAGCCCGATTTTTTAAAAAATATATTATGAAGATTCCTTTGGAAGAAAAAGAAAGAAACTAACTATCTATATGACATGGTGTTTAATTGATTCTTGAGGAGCAATTAAAAGTAATCAGACGAACAATAATACTTTTTTGAAATATTTGTTCATAATATATGGTTATATTTTACCATTTTGGTGGGACTTCAGCCCGAAAGCCTCTTCCCTCCGCCGTAGACCCGCCTGCGGTTCTAACGTTTGTAACATGCTAATAATATTTCACTACTCCATTATCAGACAGCCCACAGTAATAAAATTCTTATTTTTTCAAAGAAACTTGTTTAGTAGCAACATTGATGTCAATCCTGTTTAAGGGATATCTTCTTCTTCTTCTTCTTCCACGGCACCACAACTCATGAAGAGTCTTGGCCTCCTCACGACGTGTCTGCCACGACTTGCCAGTGACCAGTATTTATCGATAGATTTATGTTGGCAAGAAGTTAGTTTTATATTAAGTTAAAGATAATTTTTGTTAATCTTAAAATGAATATGAAATTTCACTTAATTGCATCATTGTTCTCTGTTGTTGGAACATTCCAAATAAAACAGTGTCAGCTAACAAATTTAGTCTATTAATTTTCCATTTTTAAAAATTTAGATGAGTGGATTTGAAATATATCTTGGTAAGATGAGAAATAGTTTTATAAGATGAATACATGAAAAATGTAATAACATCAATAATTAAGTTTTTACAATTAAAAGTTTAAAGAAATTTCCTTAAGCTTGTCAGCTACGGGTGCATTTACTCTATTATATTTACTCTATTTTTACTCTATTATATTTATATATTATATATTTACTCTAGTAGAGATTGTGAATTATGTTTATATTTTTATAAAAAATTACTTTTTCGGCAAGTCAAAGTAGTCCCAATTTACAGTATTATTGTAACATGAAATAATTCTCAGTATGATATCAATGTCTTTGTAATTGTATTAGGCTCAAAAACTTTATCAAGCGAGATTAAGGGTCATAACACGCCATGCTATTTAATTTATTATGCTTGATGAGCTGTTGAAGCTCTTGAGATGTTCAACATTAGGTTCCATTACTTTAACAAACAACTTGAAGATTGAAGCCTCTTTGTTGGTATTTTTGTATATGTTAACCTTCTAATATAACAGCGAAGAAGGTAATTGTGGGCAAAACGTGTTTTAAGTTGGTGACTACTGAGCTTCAGTTTTATGAGTTATTAAGTTATTAATATGGCCAAGTTCAGAAAACGTGTTAATCGAATCAAAGGGAAACGATGGGCCAAAGGACAGAGTTCCAGTTCCAACCCATCTACACAAAAACACAGAGAAGCAGCTAAATCTAGATTTTTTGAACCCATCTCAGGTAAATAGTATTTAAAATGTATACATTTTTATTTATCAAATATTTTGTTTGTTATTGTTAGCGTTCATACTGATTTTCTATTCAGAGAATATATTTTGAATTTTTTTTTTTTTTTTTTTTGTTTAAATAGGTCCTTCTCTGTTGACTAAAGAAGCAATCGAAAAACATGATGCAAAATCATTTACTAAGGATGGAACAAGTATTGCCGATGATTTGGAATCTTTTGGAGGGAAGACATTCAAAACTTTTGATACATTTGCAAGTGATTGGAGTGCTTGTTCTAATCAGTCTTTTAGCAAGTAAGTATTTATGGTTTACATTAAACATGACTTGTTTTGACTTCAACCAATATTCTTTGGTACTAGTTACAAGAGTTATGTTATGATGATATATGGTTCACAATCACTTGATCACATTGTTTGTGGAATTACGAATCTTGCCACTGTTGTGATATCTGCTCTTACTCTCACCACCATTTAAGTTGTCTACACCATATTTAGAAAAATCCACATCAATCCACCTTGGGACTTCCTGTGTTTAACTTTATTTCCATTAGTAGTTCTACCCATCACAAGAAATATTGCCAATATTTACATTGAATTTTGAAAGTAGCCGACTCTTGGCAACCATGTTCATATGTGAGCTTGCTATTCTCATTCAAGCTATACCCAAGTCCTGACTATCATTTTCAGTTGAGTTCAGGCTTTACCATACCAGAGTTGTTAGTGGAGATGGGTTCTTTTAGTTCATAAGTTCCTTCTGTAATTTATTTCTAAGGAAAGTCTGGAGATCAGTTTTGTTACTACCTTAAAAATACTGTTTCATTTGGATGGGTGTCACAGGATGTCATGATCATACTACAAATGGAATTCTGAGTATAACTGCGTGTGCAGAAAGTAAACAGATGTGATCGAACCATTTAGTAAGAACTCCACCTTAACTGAAAACCCTTTGGTCAGCTGATGTCAAAAGCTGTAATTTAATTGAAGCTAATTAAGATCACAATTTTAACTGAAAAAGGCCAGTTGGGAGTTTGTGAAGTCCTAAATCATGATTTAAATAAAGGGAGGTTGTACTATGTTACCTAACATGCCAGTATTTGGTCATTATAAGAATTTAATATATAGGATGATCATGATATCTAGGCCCACCCTTCAAAGTGTAACAATTTGTGAAATAGTACTTCAGTTACTACTGTTTACTTTTTATATTCTATGTTTAGTTCAATTGATTTCATTGTATCCCCTAAGTCCCTGTTGTGTTCTGAAAACTGCTTAGCATGTCGTTAGGATTGCACCTCTTTTGAGGCAATACTGAGGGAAAACGGACTCTACATCATCATGGAGAATGATTTTCCTCAGCTAGGAATTAAGGATAACTACCTGTACTACGAAGCTTTTGTGTACGGGTGGAAGGAATTTCAATCTCCACTAACAAAGAAGAATCAAAGATTAATTGGTAGAAGTATTGTGCTACTCCTACCCAAAATCTGTATTGCTGAGAGGCAAGTAAAGAAGAAAATAAATAAATAAATGATTTGATCTAGACTTTTCTGCCAATTAGACATAGCACTTGTGGACTATTTGCTTATATATTGAATTTTGTACTTTCCAATACTGAGGTGTTCCTGGTAGTTGACACACTAATATTTCGTGGTAAAAATTAGTACATCCAATGTCCTGCACTAAAAAGCCTTTTTCATGCTAATTTTTTTTTTTTAATTTTAATTATTTATTTGCACATGGATTAATTTTTGTTTCTGTCTTTTTCAGGTTGATTAAAAACTTCAAATCCAATTCTGCTATCCATAAAGACATGCTTGCAGTTTTGGCTGCTGTTACTGAAGTAATTAAAGAAAATGGAGGAAATGAAACTGCTACTGAATATTTTGGTGCTCTGGTAATTCATAATTTTTTTCGAGGGTTACTATGCAATGAGTCTTCTGTAAAAAACGTTTCCATTAGTTATATCTAATTTTTACTATGTTTTAAGTGGTTATTATAATAATATTTATATATTGACAAATCAAGGTTTAATGCTGTATTTTCTTGAGCTAAACCTAATCTATTCTAGTACTGAAATTTCCATAACTGAATCAATGAATTACCGATTCTACAGGTTTTATGTTAGTTTTATTCTTGATCACGAACTTATCCCAAAACCATTTATTTTAAGAATGGTGGAAATAATTGAGTAAGAATATTCTGAACTATGTATTTCTTGGTTGAAAGACTTCATAATTATACCATAGAATTTTTGTTTTCAAATCGTTAATAAATCAGGTATGTTTAAAGTAATGGACGTTTTGTTCCTTTATAAGATGAATTGAAATAATGTGTATGGGTTAGCATAAGTATTGGGTTTAAATCTTTATAACGACATTGGCAGTCGATGTGACTTTAAAAAACAGCAAATATAAATAAAATAAACTTATTTTATTTTATTGAATTTATAAATATATTTATTGAAATATGGCATTTTAAAAAATGCCTATATTTCAGAAGTGGCTTGTTCAATTAAGTTCAAACTTGGAGATTGATGAAAATATGATGCTGTATCAATTTTATCTTTTTCTTGCTCCTAAATATATCCTGAAGTACCTTTCCATTATACACATTTATTTCAAACTGCTTGTTCAGTTAGATCTGAAGTTAGAGTGCCGTTAAGAATTGAAGAAAAATGTTCAAGTTGGTATTAATTTTTACTTTCACTTACCTATATATGAAATATATAGTAAGGGAAAGTATTGTGAACATGAAAATTTTTGAAACTGAATTTTCAACAGAAAACCATGTTTTGAGGTCTCCTGAGTCCAAATAATCAAGTCCTGCAAAATGGTCTGTGTGTAAACAACCTAACTAAAAAATGGAAAGTCATACGAAACTGTAATTGCGTACTTAATGTATGTATATGGCTGAGATGTT